AATCTTAATCCTCATGTGATCAGCTGGAATCAAAGCTACAGTTAATCATTTCCAGCAAAAACACAATAGGGAATAGATCTATACTTTCCACTCTGTTTTCTACCTGATACTCAATTTTAGAGAGCTGTTCTTGTGCTTTGTTATACATAATCGGATGCTTTATTTATATAACATTAATTAAGTTAATTGATAGGTTCCCTCCGTCACCTTATTGAAGGCCCATCTCAATCTCAAGTAGATTTTTGACCACTCTTTCCATCATCTTTCCCCTCCCCACCCTCTTCAGTTCCCAGCCAGCAGTGGCACACACTTGGAGATTTGCTCCCAATGTGAGCACATGTTCAAATGCATGACACTGCTGGCTGGGTAATGTAAATTGTATTTTATAACATTTAAAATGATCCCTTGAATATAAGTCCAATTCCTAATCAGTTCCATTCTCAAATGCTGTTCAAATAATAAAAATGTCCAAAATATTTATTGAGGGACCATTTGGGAATGAAACTGATTAGGAATTGGACTTGTATTCAAGGGATCATTTTAAATGTTATACAATACAATTTACATTACCCAGCCATGTCACGCATTTGGGATACAGTGTATAGTTTGGGACGTGACATCTCAAGTGGCTCCCAAAATGGTGGAAGGTGAACTAGATGGACCTTGGGCTTCTCTTGCCTTGCAAATTCTTATATACTTATTTGAATCACATCACTTGTACTGGGAAGAAAAGCGTTGTCAAGAGCACCTTATCAAGGTGGCCTCGGAGTGGTTCCAATATGATTCACTCTCACATAGTGCTGTGCTGTTCAAGCCTAATTCATCCCAACTTTCTGCTGTGAACCGAAGTGCAGTATAAAAATAGCATTAAAGTGAAAATGAGTTTGGGCAGCCTCTGCTCACGGGTGAGAGTCCACAGCACAAAGAAGCAATAACTTGCAATTAGAGATTTACATGTGTTTCATTGACAGGGTCCATGCCAGACAATATTAAAACTACACAGCTCCTTGCAGTGAAATGTCACAGTCAAGTTCAGAAGGTAGTCTGTTGCAACAGGCAGCAGGAAAATATCACTGTCTTGGAGGTCACTGCAGCCTTGCTCTGTTGCAGACACTACAGAGACTAGAGCTACTACAGCACCAGCATTATCAGTGTGCTTTTAACCTTAGTTACCATGATAAAAATAAAAGTTCAGCAGCTGCAGACATAACAGCACCAGGACATTGCCAATTGAGTCACAGTGTACTTTGCTATTTATAAACAAGGTATTTTAGCTTTACTGTCCACTCCCTTAACATTTACACAAATGGTTATGTGAAGTTACCTGGATATACTTTGAACCTACATCAGTCAACTGCTAAAAAAAGTCACATTATTTACACTAAACTATTTTAGAGAAACAAAAAGCACCTGTGCCATTTCTCTGCCTATCTGTTAACTCGAAAATCAATCTTCCTGCTTAAGTTTGGAACAGAAGAAACAGGAACCACCATTCTCTATTGAAAACAATAATAATGAACAAAATTATCTTTTCAGCAAGCAATTCCAGTAGCATTGAGAAACTGTATGGAAACATCTTCCCAGGTTCACAATGTAGCTTATCCACCATCATATCATAATGAAACTACTGTCACTTCACATCTTGACAGTAATTCTTCCCTCCCCCACTCGGGTCCTAATCCCTGACTGTTCAGCACCTTGGATCTTGTGGCTCTTTGGAACAATTAAATTACTTACAAAGGGGAGGCATGAACCATGCAATCTTAATCTAGCGAAGTTATGAGGTTTTAGCACTTCAGTCACAGAAATGTACAGTGCAAAAAGAGGCCATTCGCTCATGGAGTCTGCAGCAGCTCTCAGAGCAACCTGTTCATTCAATCTCACTGCCCCACTCCATCCCCATACCCCTTCTTGCATTTAAAAATGTCAATGTTTTCTAATAAAGTCCAAGAAAAATCTTGTGTATTACAGGATGTGGAGAAGATACAATTATAATACTAATCTTGGCATTTGATACATTATGTCGTCAAAATGTCTCATAGCACTTCATAGGAGTTACTGTAAAAATGAACACAACATCCAACTTAAGCACTGCAATGTCTACCAAACAGCCATGAAATAAAAGACCAAGTTTTATCATGGGGATACTTGGCCACCACTGGGAGGAACTCCCTTCTCGATCAGGGGATTTTTCAAGTCCACATGAACAGTCAGGTGGGACCTCAATTTAATATCTCAACTGAAGGACAGCACTTCTGACAATGCAACCCTCCACCCCACCCAATATTGCACTGGGGAGGGTTCAGCCTATGATGAGGTGAATGAATGCATGAAAAGGAGAAGCCAGAGACAAGTTCATTTGGGGGAAGGAAAAAGCATGCAAGTGACATGCAACTTAACAGCAAGTCTTTTCTGAGGAGGGGCTTGGACAAGTGCAGTAAGGAATGAAAATAGTTCCAACAAGAGCCTGGCTGTGATGCTCGGTAATAAACACAGCATGATGTGGATTCATTTCAAGTCAAGATTGTGAATCAGCGACTTATTCCGTGAGTGACAGCGCCCTCAAGCTCTGACAGCTGAGAGTGAACTCATTTTACCCTTTAAAAACTATTAAAAAAAACCCACGTCTTCAGATCCTCCTACTTTTGCTGAACATGTAATTGCAATAATTAAAGAAATCTACCGCATTCTTTCCCTGCTCATATACTCTGCAAACACAAGCTTTATTTGTCACTTTCTCTCTCCCCCTGGCTCGCTGCCCACTGCTTGCACTTCTTTTTTTCTTTGCCCCAAAGCGTCTTATGTCCCTGTCTCTCGCACTGCTTGTGGTGTGCCTGTCTGCCTGTCTGCACGTTGGAACCATTGTGCAAAAGTATTTAGCAGCAGAAGGTGTTTCATGAAATAACCTGAACATTTTTTTTTGCAAGTGTTGCCTCTGCCTGTCTCTCTGTTTGTGGTCCCTTTCCCTGTCCATTTGTGTGTGTGTGTGTGTGTGTGTGTGTAGGGGGGGGGGGGGGGAGATAGATGTCTGTCATTTTTCTCACTTGATCTCGTTGCCACCTTATGTGTGTGTGTGTGTGTCTGTAAGAAAGGGATTCGCTCTCCTTTCTTGTATACATAGGTGTGTGTGTGTGTGTCCATGCTTCTGGGTCTGTTCACATGGAGAGGTGTCTGTGTCTCTCTCTGCCTGTTTGTGTGTGTGTGCAAACTTATGTGTCTGGGTGTACATGTGTGTGGGTCACTCTCTGCCTCTGTGCATTCTCATTGCACTCTCTCTGTCTGTCTGTGGGGAGGAGAGGTGGGTCCTGCAGCTCCTTGTTTTCCTCTTGTGTGTGTGTGTGTGTGTGTGTGTGTCTGTGTGGGTGTTTCCTCTCTCAATTCCTCCTTTCTCACACTCACCTCACACTCACTTTCTCCCATAAATGTCAAACCTCAGTTCTGACCCAATGCTTACGTGTTCTTGAGACGTGGGCTCTCTTTAATCCCCCACCAGTGGGGTTTCTCCCTGCAGCCCCCTTGGTCTCTAACACTGACATCCCTCCATCTCTCAGTCTGTCCTCCCCTTCTCCCCCCTCTTGTTGGGGAAAACTCCCCGCAGATTGCAGACTGCTCCTCTTACTTCCTTTATTGGTCTGGTTTTCGAGTCGGGATGGATCACTTGGGTCTCCAGCTCCTGTCTTGCACTCTCTCTCTGTCTGTGTGTGTGTGTGTTATATCTCTCGGTGCGGCTTTATCTCTGTCGAGTCTCACACATCAAATAAAAGAGATCAGTCACTGTAAGGGACCGATTGCATCTGGAGAGGGGGGGGGGGGGGGGGGGGGGTGGGGGGAGATGAACACTCTACAAGTGTTGCTTTCAATCCACCCCCCGATGCATCTGATTTCTTTAGAGACTATGAAGGTGCCCCCATCCACCCTGAGGGCAAAACATCTCAACCCGATTTGATTCCCCGACCCTCAAAGCCCAGTCGCGATCTCCTGTCTGTGTCTTCCTCTGTCTCTCTCTTTCCCCCACAACACTCACACACACACATATATATATATAATATACACACACACACACACAGGAGGCACAGATTGCAGGTTAATGCCTTGAAATGCAGGCGTGTCCCGTGCACTTTCTTGGCTGAAATGCAAAGAGTCTCAAGAGCATTGCCGACAGGAGGAGGATTCAGTCGCTAAAACACCCAGAACATCACCGCCGCTATTGCCTGCACACGGTGCGTCTCACTTTTATTGGGAGACCTCCTCGCCGCTCCGGGAGAGTTTTGCAAACGCGCGGAATATTGACACATCTTATACACATCGCGCACCGCAAAACTCAAACCCCAACCGCAAAAAACCCAGCGCCGCGGATGCAGCAAATGCTGTGCAACACTTATCATCATATATCATCACATCATTGTCGTGCAACAGATTAATAAGAGAGCGACCCACCGACCAATACAGTCCCGAACCTCTCAACCAGAGCTCACTTCGCCAACGAAACTCTGGAACAAAGGTTTAACGAATGCACCGCTTTCGGTTCGCATCCCCCCCCCCCCCCCCCACCCCCCCACACCCCCCTCCCCCCCACACCTACACCTCCTGTATTTTGCGCTTTTCATTTGCTCTGCGAATGAATTTCACTTACTGTGCGAATGAATTCCATTTGCTCTGCGAATGAATTTCATTTGCTCTGCGAATGAATTTCACTTACTGTGCGAACGAATTCCGTTTACTGTGCAAATGAATTCCATTTGCTCTGCAGATTAATTTCATTTACTGTGCAGATTAATTTCATTGACTCTGCAAAGTAAGAAGCAACTGACAGTTAACCAGCAGGAAAACGGGGGGCACCCCATAACCATCACCCCCACCCCCCCCCCCCCCACCCCACCACCACCACCACCCACCACATACACACACCCCGGGGTGGTGTGTGGAGGGAAGTGGGTGGACTTGACTTGAGTCGAGGAGCGAGCAAAAAAATAATAATAATAATAATAATAGAAACTTACCTCGGATTGCCCCAGATCGTGATAATCTTCATCATCGTCGTCATCGTCATAGTCTTGGCTGGATTCGTAAGCGCAGTCCCTTTGCACAATGTAAAGCAAAAACAGAGAGATCTCCAGCATGAGCATGTTTGTGTTTGTGCTGCAACACAACATAAATCAGCTCCGACCCTCTGCGCTGCAGCAACACGTAGTTTTTTTTAAAAAAAAAAGAGGAGAGGGAGAGAGAGAGAGAAAAAAATTCCTCGTCCTGGGTCCTTGTGGGTCAAATGCAACGCCAACACAACACCAACCACCCCCCCCCCCC